ACTCCCTGTAGCTAGCTCTGTAGACTTTTGATATCCTTTCGTACAAGGCCTATAGGTGGCTTGTTGAATCTAGGCTCTTTGTGATCCCACGCACTCCCATATGCCTCTGAGTGATCCTACGACCGAAACAGATCCGACCTGCCTTACCTGCGCCGTTACACTAAGCTAGACCCTCCTTCTACTAGCAAAACTAGCCTAGCTATTACTAGCTCGCGAATTAAGTAGCTAGGAGAGAGAGAATGGCTAAGCTAACTTAAATAGTATAGGAAAAAAGCCACTAGCAAGAATCTATATATGTACGCAGCAAAATACAAGTAGAAGATAAGAAAGCAAATTACTATTCCTAGCAATACTAGAAGAGAGATTTCTAGCGCTTTCTACTAACTTAAACTAGGGCACTATTACCTAAGGGACTACCTATATAAGAGAGGGAAAGTAGATTATAATAGTTGCCCCTATAACTATAGGTTTATATAAGACCTACCTTATATTCTATTTAGATGTAATCTATATAAAGAGGAAAGGAAAGGACTAAAAGAAGCCTATAAAGGCGATTTATTACTACCTATCCTCCTTTAAATAAAAGAAAGTATAGAAGCAACTATTACCTTTATTTAAGAAATAAAGGCTAGAACATAAGCCTAGTACAAGAAAAACACAGAAAACGAGAAGTAATACCTATAACAGGTAGCTATACACCTCCCCCACCCTATCCCACCCCCTACCTACTAACTAATAAGCTACGAGCCTCACCTTTATCTAGTTAAACCCCCTCCTAAATATTGTAGCTAGAAATAACCTACTTAGATACTTATAGGCCTAAAAACCCTACACGTCTTATATAGCCCTTTAGGCTGAAAAAGGACGTTAAAGTAGATTAATAATAATAATAATAATATATGTTTTGCTAGTCGCGACGGAAAAGTCATGTTGGAACATCGGCACTCGGTGACCTGCTAATACCGACCTGAACAAGCGACTCCACTTGGGGGGTCTGTTAGCACGAACCTAGGCGCCACACTCACGTATGCTATACCCTGGGGGCTTCCCACTAAACTCGGCACTTGTGCTTTAGCTGTAAGTACAGCCAAACATTCTAGCTCTTACATAGATATATACACTCACATACACACACCCCTCGTTTTCGACCTTGTTTGCCGCCGACTCGGTACCGAAGTCGCTCTTTTTTATCCGGTTTCACCGCCTTGCTGGCAGATACGAAGTAAGGACCAGGATACCGGCTGGTGAGCAAAGTTTCCGCTACTCCGCACAAGCTAAAATCTTACCAATACCTTAGTAAATCATCCATGTAAGCCTTGTATACTTGCTTACTTTTGTATACAGCGAACTATCCTATCACGTAAGAGCTTTGACACAAACAGCAACGTACTATTTTCTTTGGTAATATGCGTGGCTATGGTTAGGCGGCTGTAAAGTCTTGGAAAGAGAAGGATAAAGTGTGTGATTTTCACGACAAGGAGGAAGTGAAACGACAATCCCATGTCTCGGGGCATTGTGTCCACGCCATGTATATGAATCGCGTGATGACGTTTCGAAATGACGCGTAGGAAGCAAGCTCGCTCTGCACACCATTGGCAGTACACCTAGTCATCGTGACATTGGCAACTCCACTGTTTCAACGACTCGACATCTGGATACACTACGGTGCTCACGAACATGTGTCGCCAACATATCCAGCCATGCTACATTCAGCGCAAAACGGCCTACAAAGCACCAGGCGTATTCGCCACAGTCTGTGCAGCAGCCTCGCAGTCTTCTCCCTCTGGAACCACAAATCCGTAGCCTATATTCTGCGCGCAAGACGAAAAGCCATAGACGCCTTGGTAGAAGCCCGAGCCGTCAGAGCTAGCCTTTTGCAAGGTAGCCGTGAGCACATCGCTACCCGCCGAAGGACCCAGCGTAACGTTTCCAGTGCGAAAAGTAGGCTGTGCAGTACTATTATTGAAAAACAGGGTGATCCGCTGGCACCGCGGAGTCAGAAGACTAAGTGCGTTTGCCAGCAGCGACGGCTGATTGAGAATCTTTTTCCAGGTGCTGAGCGAGTACCGGGGCGAGGCTTGGTTGGGCTCGCTGATGAACTTGAGGTCGATGGCTTCCGAGTAGAGGCCCGGTCCGCTCGCGGGGTTGGGCGCTTGTGCCCACTTGGAGTTGACGCCCAGCGACCCATCGCTGTAGGTCTGGAAGGCTGCGTTTTGCGGGATAAAGGCGCCGATGCGCGTGAGGAGGCCGCCGAGTGTTAGCCAGGGGCAGGACTGAAGTAAGTCCCGGTATACATGGAAACTCTTACCAACGATAGACGGGATAATGCTGTATACATAGCTTTGCGTGACGCTATCAACACCAGCAACATACAGAACCAGCGGGGCATTCAGCGGCGTCTGCGAGTCCCCCACTCCAACGTATGGAATCATGGAGCTGGCAACCATCAACGCAGTAGCCAGCTGCAGTCCCCCCTGGCGGATATCGTCGTTGCGCCCCGCAGAAACCACCACGGGATGCATATCCGGGCCCAAATTCAGCTCAGCGGGAACAGGCAGCAACTTGAGCCTCCCGAGATTAAACAGACTCGGATATGATTGCTGCAGCGCTTTCTTGACATCGGCTTTGGGCACGGGGACCAAGAACCAGGCTGCAGTGTGTGTATGTGTGTTCGACAGGCGTTTCTGAGACGGCAACTCGACGGAACTGACTGTTTGACATGGCCATGGTGCGGTCTTGCGGATTGTAAATGGCGACTTCATTCGGACACGTGCTGCTGGCCTGTCCCGCAACAAGCCTCGCAGCTGCGAGCAAGACGTGGAGGAAGCGCGCCATGGGTATCTCTCAATTTCAATCTGGTATATATGTATGTATGTATGTACAAATGGACATGCAGAAGAGGCACTTCGCCATGATATACACCCGACTTTTTCTTTTTCTTTCTTTTTTACATTCCACCTCGCCAATCCAGCGCGCCATGGAATCCCACCAAGTATTCCTGTCCTACTTACCACCACTTGACCCCAATGTACCTGCATCTGGCCTTTCCGGGAACAAAGAGAAAAAAAAATAAATAAATAATAATAGGGGTACGGTGCTAGTGCTAACGATACCCTCCCCCCCCTACACCTACGTACCAGCCAACCACAGCCAGAGTTAGTACTTCCGATCCCCATCCTACGACCTCTGTCGAAGCCATGATTTCGCGTCGCACTCCCCATCTAGGCAAGTGGTACGTACGTACGTACAAAAGCGCAAACCTTTGTTCTTGAAACGGGCGTCCTAGCCCGATTCGTTGCGCAATTGACATCATGGATATGGATTTTGGCGCCGCCTCGCTGGACTAAGTAGGCTGGGGGGGGGCTAAGTATCTCGGGGTGGATGTGCACGGCTAGATGCGTCTCCGGTGATGGCGGCGGGGCGTGTGTGGAAAGTGCGAGGCTTGGTGTTGGGTCAAACGTCTTGGCCTGAGACTTATTTGTACGGCTGGGGGGGGGGGGGCTGAGACAGAAGAAAGCTTTCGTAGTGTCAGTGTGGGACCTTTGTGTCGCCAAAAACAATAAACAATAACGCCGCACTTACTGTGGCGTTGTGGGTCTTGGAACAGCAGCATTCAGTGCAAGCCAAGGTCTTCATTAGTGACTGTGATTCGCTGTTGATGGTGCACTGTATCTAGTGGACCCCTTTGGATCTACCGGTAGTATTCTTGCTGCTTCTTTCTATTAATTATGTTCGTCTATTATCTTGTGTAGCGCATTGCTCCATTGGCGAACCTACTCGCTTCTGGAATTCAGATATGTATGTGGCTTAGCAAGTCGTATTTCTTGACACATATTTTTATCCATCTCTCAAAACCAATGGCTTCTTCTTCAAACCTCGTGATTGCGCCGTCTCCGTCATTCTGGTCATGCGCTTGCATCTATCGTGGTCACACAATCTTGGCTTGCGGTGGGGGCGTTGAGAGAACTCAGACATTGCTCCTTCAGTCCAGATCATGGCGTTGTAGTAAGCCACTAGCACCCATCAAGTCCGCGTTGCAAGCCCATTGCACACTCTAGGTTCCGCACGTTACTTGTAACAAAACATGCTGAATTCGTCAAAAGCAATGCTACTATGCACATATATTGCTTGAATGTGCCTGAAAGACGAACATTTAAATCCCCCAAACGCCAAAGTAGACTCTTGTCCACATGCCTGTCTATGCCTGCGCGCTCACGGGCTTGATACCTACGTCGGACATTTTGGTGTCGTCAATGTCTCCTACAGGGCTGTCTGCCCTCTCGACCACGTCGGTCAGCCCCAGGTATTTCAGATTAGCAGCCCAGCCCAAGTCGTCGCCAAAGTAGCTCTTCATGATGTCGACGCCGTACTTGATGCCGTTGACGGGATCGTACGTCAGACATTGCTTGCCGACAGCCAGGCCAATGACGGCATCCCATGCTGGCAGCTCGGTGGTGGTGTAGGGCTCGGATGCAGGAGAGAGCTCCGAGTTGAGCATGGCTGCGTATATGTTTTGTGCGGCAGCCTGGCCCATGACGGTAGCGCTGCCTGCGCGCTTGATACCTGTCCAGGCAATAACATCGCCGACGCCAAAGTGGGACGAAGCATTTGCGATTGTGTCTTTGAACATCAGGGATTGATGGACCATGACTTCCTTGTCCTTGTTCAGACATTCAGCAGGCAGCACGTCGGTGGTTGGGGTGCCCTTCTTGGTCGAGTCGATGACAAAGTCGGCCGTTAATATTTCGTTGTTTGCCAGTGTGACCGTGTACTGGCCGTTTGGCAAATCGGTAATGGTGGCCCTGCTGCCGAGACGGAGAGTGACGCCCTCTTCTTCGAGAAGGATTCTTGCACGCTCCTTCACGTCTGCCGGCAGTGGCTCTGATGATAGAACCTCGCTCCTTGAGTGTACCAGTGTAACGGCGATTTGCGGGTAGTAGTTCTTGATCTCGGCGGCAAACTCAACGCCTACGGCACCAGCGCCAATGACGACTACCCGCCTTCCCTCGCACTTGGACGCATCTCCACCAGTGATCTTGTCGATGAAGGCCTTGCCATCTCTCTGGTACTCGTCGAAGCTCCCAGACTTTGGCACGGCAGGGAATGGCCTCTTCAGGCCTGTAGCCATGACGAGGTAGTCGTATGCTTGTTGCTGCGTCTGGCCATTGCGGTCGCGCCACTCGGCAACCTTGGCTTCGGGGTTGATCTTCTTTACACTTCCATGTCTGAAGTGCAGGTTGGGGTGCTTCAGCTCATTGAGATGGCTGAACCGCTTCCACATGTGGCTTGTGTACTTGGGGGTAACGTGTGCAAGGGGGGCACCGACCGAGTGAACTGCACGACTCGGGAATCAGTATCCAATCTGGCGAGGCATGTGTGACGAAAGGGTGGGGTCGATGCAAGATATCGAGCCTCGGTTAGTGGGGTGGAGTAACGCACAATAGCCATCCCGCTCGTCAATGACTGTAATCTCGACACCTCTCCTGCTGCGGGCGCCCTTGAAGTCGGGGCCTGGATAGACACTCTGTCGTGCCCTGCCTTGTGAGTATTCCAGCAGGTTGACGACAGCAGAGACGCCGCCGTAGGCACACCCGACGACAAGAACTCGATGAGGACTCGATGAGCTGACACTGCTCAGGGTCTCAGCCATGCTCTGCATTCTCATTGTCAAGATTTGATCTGATAAGGGAGGGGTCGTGGGGTAATAGGAGAGACGGGCAGGGTGGGATGAAAGAGAGATGATCTGATTAGATTATAGACGGCCGGCAGGGCGCCCGCTTCTTATTGCCAGCAGCCACCGCATACGACATGACACGGGCATCGGAAAAGCAGCCGGCACCCGCCATACCGGCCGTTGCCATGTCCACGAGCGATTCATTGTGTCGCCGTGGACCGAGGGCACGAGGCGTGATTGGCAGACGGGTGCGCGTCTTATCAGATCCGAAAGTCGGCCGGTGCAAATTTTATCAGATGCCCCACCTGACACTACGCACTATGCTGGTTGCTGTGCCGTACCAATGCATGCAGTCATGCCTCCACATCATCAACGACACCCATAGCCTGTGATACGTTATTATTCCGCTCATCCAGCTCATCTGACCGCTTTTGCTCCAGACGACCCCGTGTTGGACATGCACCCAAGCAGGCTAACACTAATGTCATTAGGTGACCCCAGAGCCTGGCGTATCCAGTCTCTTAAGTAGGGAATGCCAAAGTCCAAGTCTCGTCTACGTATTTGAGGGTCATTAGTCTCAATTCAACCATATTGGCCCTGGGTTCCTCATTATCCCCGCGATTTTCATCATCGCTCTTGACTCTCGCCAGTCCTCAATAATCATTCTCCTTTGAAGCCATCGACCAGCACAACAGGGCCCTTGTACTGCTTCCTCCCTCTAATTACATAATCAATAAGACACAATACAGCCACTCCCCCGAACATAACAACAGCCCAGTTGAAATCCTGCGGCGCCGCAGATGTGGTCTCGGGCCAAAAACACCAGAAGAGTGCATGCGTGGAGTACAGCACGCCGCCAAGGTTGATGGGGACACCCCATTTGCCCAGGGACCAGCGGCAGGCGGGCAGCAGTTCAGGGTGCTTGATGCGGCGGTATAGGACGGCGCCGATGGAGAACATGTATGTGATCATGAGGGCCACGACGTTGAGTGAGATGACTGCCGCATGGTTAGCTGGGCTCGCAGGCCAAAGAGAAGAGGCTACGAACTAGCGTTGAACGCGACATCCGAGCCAATGTTGATCAGACTCAATGCAATGGTAATGATGCAAGTCACGGTGACAGAATTCGCCGGGACCTGCAACTTGGGATTCACATGGCCAATCCAGTTGCTAAAGGGCAGTCCGTGGTCTCTTGCAAACGCCCACGTCTGGCGCGACGTCGACAGGTTGAAGGTCAGGGTACCTGCGAAGATGAGAACAGTGGGGATGGAGTTGAGTGCAACGACTCCGCCGGGCGATACAGCTTGGCTGAAGACCCACAGGTGCGGATAGCCGCTTGCATCGCCGAGGGCAGCCTCGACATCAGTAACCATGAACATGTAGCTGATGAGGAAGACTATGCCCAGAGATCCGTTCATGAGGTATGCACCGATCATGGCGCGGGGCACAGTCCTGCCCGCGTCTTTGATTTCCTCGGCCATGTGAGCTGCCGAGTCGGAGCCTGCAGATGGTGTTAGAAGCTGACAGGCGCCAGAGTGTTGAACATACAGATGCAAGCATAGATTGCCGAGACCTGGCCGACCATGAGCGCAAGGCCCGTTGTACTCCAGCTGCCGCCGTTGGTAAAGTTTGTAAATGTCGCTTCTGCCGTGGCTCTCGGCGACAGGACCCAGAAGACGATGATGATAGCCATGAAGCCGAATACATGGACAATCAGCATGATGTTCTGGAAGACGGGCATGATTCTCGAGCCCCAAATGTTCAGTGCCCAGACAAGGATGGTCACGGCGATGACCATGAGCGTTCCCTGCCAATTGGTAGGAGAGTATTCCGGATACATGACAATGGCCGAAGACTGGATCAGCGTGCCCACGAGATAAGGCCCCGAAGCAGTGCCAGCTTGCCACGACAGCGTCGACATCCACCCAATGAAGTAGCTAAACGGCTTCTGGACGCTGGGAGGCGAGAATTCCGAGACCCAGTGGTACTGGCCACCGGCAGTCGGAGCCATGGACGCCATCTCAGCAAGCGACAACATGACGGTGCTGAAGCCAAACCATGTCCACACAAAACTCCAGATCAGGCCTGCCGGGCCTCCATCCAGCAGGCCCTGCGAGGTGGCACTGCTCGAGAGTTAGCAAGGTGCTGGAGCGATGCGTGTCAGGCGAAAGCCACGGCATGGGGGGGTCTACGCACGTGAGAAGCACCTCCCATGTACCCTGCAGGATAACAGTAAAAGCCAAAGCGGAAAGCGGACGGTAATTCCTCTTGAGTTCCTGCACCTTGCCCATGCGCATCATGTCGGCGCGATCAGCCCTCGTGTAGCCCCGCAGCGACCCATGGGACTCGTTGCTCTCGACATCGTCGGACAGCACTCGTCGATGCGCCTGCATCTCGTGTGCAGCAGTGTGCTTATCCATGTTCCGGACCGGTTGGTCCTGGTAAGCAGCCATGGCTCGCGGGCGAACAACGCTCGCAGCAAACTACTACGCAAGGCGAGTCGCAGCGCCGCAGCAGGGAGGGAGAGAGAGAGAGAAGAAGAAGAAGAAGAAGCAACAAGCAGGAAGCAAAGAAAAAACAAACAACTATTTCATTAAAGTGAAGCACCCTGCCTGGCGCAAGGGAAGAGAAACCCGGCGAGATGGATGGCAGAAGAAGTAAGGAAAGTCAATGCAAATACAGTGCTGACATTACTTAGCGAACGCTGGGCTGGTGGGCCGCTCGCCAGCCACGAGCCGCGGTGATAATCTAGGCGGGGGCGTTTGCTCAACACATGTGCCCTCAGGCCAAACAGCAAGACATGCACATCCACCTCCAAGCCTGCCAGCCATGTGCTCTGGCCCGCGATAAACGGTTCGAGGCTCAATCGGCCCTGTTTTGCTTGGGGGGCCTCGACGTGAACCCATGTCTACTACGCGGCCCGCTTCCCTCATCTGCACTGGGCTGGGCGATGCGGGAGCCGTGTGTCAGTGTGTGTTAATTTGCATGTGCCGTCCGCATCCTTCCACAGTACGTAAGTTTGACTAACGGCCGTTTATTTTTTTTTCTTCTCGTTTTTTGGTTTTGGTTTTGCTGGCGGCACGATTTTCCGTTGCGCAGACACGGAGACGAGGCACGTCACACCAGGGGAGATGGACTAAACTTTAAAGTTTACTTGACTTACTTAGTGACTTGCGTTTTGTGGCCTTTGCATGCAATCCAAGCAACAGGGGGAAAACGTCATCCACGGCCGCGAGCTAGGGCAAGAGTAGCAGTCGAGGTGTGGCGCCATGTCGATCAGACGGGCTGCGTCTTATGTACGTACATAGATAGACTCATGGTGGTTATGCTCCATAGGCTTGCGCCCTCGTGCCACGTGCAGACAGCAGAGGGGCAGACTGCCAGTGCTGGCGGGGTGCGTCCAAGTACCGTACTTATGCCCTGGAGCAAGAATAAATAGGTATATGTGTGACCTACATAGATGAAACATGCATGTAGGACAAACGCTCGCGCCTGGCGCAGCACTTGGCCATGTAGAAACGCGAGATGGATGATACTGCGATGCGAGAGTCCTTAGCGATGCTGCTCTGCGCTACTTGACTTGGTCGTCATGGCAGAAGTTACGTATGTTACATGCGTACATAGCCACAACGCGCCCATCCGCCCGTTTCCTAAGTAGATGCCAGCAACACAATCTGCGGTTCGCACCGGCTGGAATCCCGCCGATCCATGCTTTATCCTCCTAGCACGTAAGCCCAAGAAAACAGGGCCAAGCAAACGCAGGGCGAGACCCAGAGACAGATAGAACAGGGTCAGGGGGTAATCATGTTTCTCCTCCTCTTCCAACCTATTAGCACCAGCCTTGGAGGGCATGCTAAGGGCAATGGTTAAACAACCCACCACTAATAGCTATCTCACCCACCTCGAAGCTAGGGCCCCCTACATAGCGCCCTTAGCTATATTATTAGTAGTATTATATATTACTTACGCTTATATAGCTATATAGTAGTAATCTTAAGTACTTAAAAATAGCTAGTATATAAGTAACAAGTAAGTAGTATTACGTAGTTAAAATCGAAATTATAGAAGTAAGAAAGTGATACTTAAAAACTAGCTATATTATCTAAGTTTTAGTATTCTATATAGCCTAAAAACTAGCCTAAAATAAGCTTTTAGCTACTTACTAAGAAAGCTATAGCTAGCGTAGTATAAAAATTACGTTAGCTAACTATGATAGGGCTCTTAATTATTATTACGCCTTTTACTACTTAAGTTTAGTAGTAAATTTGAGTAGAGAGGTAAGGAGTATAGAGGATAGGGATATTATATAATAGCTAAGTAGTTAAAGTAGCTAAAATAAGGACCTGAAGGCCGATTTTAAAGCCCTATTATAAAGCCTTTATAGGCAAAGCTATACGTAAGTAGTAGTTAGAAAATTAGATAGGTAGCTAGGTAGGCAAAGTAAGCAGCTAGGTAGTATAGTAGTAGTAGTAGTAGTAAAAGCTAGTAACTTAGCTAGTAGCCTAGCTAGTAGCCTAGCAAAGCTATATAAGGCTACTAGAATAGCTATAGAGTAGCTATCCTAGCTAAAACTTAGTATTATAGCTAAGCCTAGTAGCAGTAATTAGGTGCTAAAAGCTATAGTAGAGGTAGTATAGTAATCTACTTTATTAGCTAAGTCGCTATTTAAGCTAGTATAGTAGCTAGTAGAGTTACCTAATTATTAGTATTTATACGCTTAAAAAAGCTTAGTTTACGCTACTAGCTTAAGCCTTTTTTTTTAAGTTTTCTTAGGCTGTTTTTGCTATAAAATTACTTTTAGCTTAAGAGGCGTTTAAGTATCTTTACTCTTTAGAGCTTAGAATTAATTAGTCTACTAATATAAATTAAAATCTAATACTTAAAGTACTTTAGCATTAAGTTCTAGCTTAGTAAGAAAATACTAATATAGTATTCTAAGCGCTAGCGTATACTAATTGTTATAGGCTAAGAGCTTATGACTAACTCTATAATACAGTTTTTTTAACTTTACTTTTACTTTTATAAGCTATTTTACTATTTTGATAAGCGCGTAGTTGTAACGGGTCGAGTCCTATTAGACTGCGCACGCAACTACAACGCGCCCACCGCGCCAAAAAGGCTGGCACAAGATATCAGAGCTGCTGATATCGTTGCGTAGTTGATACATAAGATAGCCACCGCTATCTGTACTGTAGCGGGCTACCTAGCCCGTTACAGTAGGAGGTTATATAAAAGCTAGTAGCGCTAAAAATAGCATCTTAGGTATTATTATAAATCTTATTATCACTCTATATATTGGTAAAATTATTAGTAATGCTATAAAAGAGATCAAAGCTACAAAAATATTAAAAAAGAGTTAAAATATTAATACTAGAGCTTCTAATCTATTACTTGATAACGCAATAAGCGCCCTTAGGCTTACTAGTAATAGTAAGGCTAACATAGGTATTATAATTAAGATAATAACTTACTAACTTATTATAGTAACTATTTAGCTAATGCTACTTTAAGTAAGTACTTATAATCTTTCATTACTACTTATAAGCTACTAAATTAGTATTATAATTAGCTTTTAATAGCAAGTTAAGAAGGTAGAGATAGAGGTTAAAGAACTTAGTAGTTCCTTTACTATCTACCTACCTATTACTAACTTACTTATAACTGAATTTAGTAGATAGCGGTAGCTAAAAGTAGCTTAAAAAATTCTTATTAAAGTGCTACTAATAAAGTATAATTATAAGTTAATTAAGGATATCTTTAAAAGTATTTAAACAAGCCTAATCTTAATTGCTTAGCTATACGCGTATACTAGTTTTCGCTAACTTGAATAAAGCCTAAAGGTAGCGTAGTACTTAAGTAAATAGAGCTTTATCTTGGTAGTAAATAAGCGTAATACTAAAGTGTATTATTAGACTAGCGAATGGGTATAGGGTTCCAAAGATGGGTATAGAGTAGGGTAGGGTCGCATAGACATTAGGTAGGGATAAGGTTAAGTTACATAGACTTAGAGTAGAGGTAGAGTTAGGTTGCATAGACTATAAGTAAAAGTAGGGTTAAGTAGACTATAGCGTAGGTAGAAGTAAGGTTAGGTTGTATAGATATTAGGTAGGAATAGGGTTAGGTTACACTATCTATAGGTGTACTTAGGTATAAAGTACTTATGCTAGATATAGAGTACCTACGTAAAGAAATTATATAATAATAAGCAATTTATTAATTATATTTAGTAATTATAAATAAGTAGAGCGCGTTATTAGATGATATAAGCATTAGAAATAAATAAAATAATATTTATTACAACTTGTTATGCCAGTACTAAGCTAGTCTTCTACGCTTCTATAGTAAGAGTAGTAGCTCTTCTATACTAGCTTCATCCTAAGCTTGATTTAAAATACTTTAATCCTTATTATTATATTTAGTATTTACTAGAAGCTTAAATATATTGCTACACTAATTACTTAGTTCCTTACTATCTTCTACTTCTATATTAATATAACTTCTATCTATCCTTTACCTAATTAATAACTTATAAAATATTATTTTTTAAATCTTTTATATAAGAAACTGATACTAGTAAGTACTAATTAAATTCTTTATAATATTGAAAACCTACTCTATACTTACTTAAGCAATTAGTACTACTAAGATATCCTGAGTAACTTAAGAAAGGTAGAGATATAAGCTTTTACTAGCCTTTTACTAACTTAGTAGATTAAAAGATTTATTTAGTAGTATATAAGCACTACTAAGATCTACCTCTTCCTCTTAATATATTAGCCGTTAAATCTCTTTAACCTCTTACATAGAAGATTAGCTTAAGCTTAGTAATCTACTTCATTAAGAATAGGTTAAAGTTAGCTTTTAAAACTACTTATTGCTTGATAACTTGTATAGACTTAGCTCTAGTAAAGAAAAGCTAATATAGCTTTTACTATTATCGCAATTAAGGTAATTAAGAAACTATTAGTAACATATATGCTTATTTTAGTTATTCTATATATTGTCTTAAATAGGTTATTAGAATTATACTATAATAATTTACTATAATAAATATACTTTATACGCTATTAGCTTTTATATTAGATTGAAAATTATTATATAATTAAATAAAAAACCCTACTTATTATTAGTTTTTGAGTAGTATTTACTTAGTTTTAACCTACTAGTAGCAGCAGCAGCCTAGACCACCTATAGGTACTTAGTATTCTCCTAGTTTTCTAAGTCTTCTCTAAGATCTAACGTTATCTAATCTAGAAAATTAACTAGCTAATTATATATTAACTAGATATATAGAATGTAAGGCTTTTAGCCCTTACTTAGAGCTATAGTAGCTATCTTAAAATAACTAATTATTTAAGTAATTATCTTCAAATAAGTCTACTCTTATACTAATAGCTATAGCTATTTAAGATCTTACGAGTTAAGACTACTATTATTCATACCTTTAAAGCTTTCAAAATGCATTATAGCTCCATATATAATTTCTTCTTTTAGCTACTTATTAATATATTACCAAAGCTTAACAGCACGCTTATATATATTATATATAGAGTTCTATTAAGTTTTAATATTATAGATAATTAAGAGACGCTGTTTTAAAGGTATATAT